TGGATGTGCCTACATAAATAAAAGTACATCTACTTCCAAATGCACATTTGTCTCATTTGTATTCTATGTTTTAGACTAACACAGCAGTGAGGAACCTATAATTTTCTGTGTTGCTATTAGATTACAACTCAAGGCCAGGGTAAAAGCTGAAGTTGCATTACAAGTAGGGAATACCCTTATGATCTTTCCAAATCCACATATCGTCTTACTTAAATATTTATTTATTAATCATATTTATACGGCCCCCCATCTCGCAAAAAGCAACTCCTAGGTTTTTCATATGGGAGTAGTTTGGTCCATTTTAATCCTTAGAATTAGATGATATTGAAATTATTTAAGATGGGGGCAGTTTTGGTTGGTAGCCTTAGCCACATCTGTTTTTAGAGGACAGTCTATTCAACTAATTCATGAGCTCCTCCCGTTTGATGAAGTAGACAGTCTAGTTCATGAAAGTTGATGCCAATTGTTATATCCTTTTAAAGTAAAATCTGCCATGAATGAAGTTTGATTCCTAGCGACTACATGGGCACCTTGGGTTGCCCCCTAAAAGCCTCTGCTCTTGTATAAATATTTATTTGATCTGTAAAAAATTACGCTTTATTTTCCACCAATTGTTACTGCTGTGAAAGGCACAATCAATCTATTAATCAACCCATTAATCAGCAATCTTAAACATGTAAAAAAGCAGTTTGTCTTCCCGCATCCCCTTGATAAGCCTCTCCTTCCAGATCTGTAGCTGTATTAAAGCTGTATCATGGGCTGAGACCTAGGCAGCCCAGCTCAAAGGAGAGCCTATCCTAACAGGAAATCAAGAATCAATAAAGGGAGGAGAGTTTATTTTTATTTGTGGCTATTTTACTATTACCCCTTATGAAATTGCTTCTATAATATAGCTGTCCTTCAAGAGTCTTTGGAGAGCAGGCAAGGAGTCAAATTGCATCCTTTTTGTGTAGCTTCAGGCACTGTCATTCAAGCTGCTTTACTTGACCGAGTCATCAAACAGGCTCTTCTGTAACATCAAAAATATGAGCTTTGATGGTTTTCTCTGCCTTGCAAAGCTTCCTAGCAGCTTGACCAGGGCCAATCTTTACCATAAAATTGTCTCCTGGTACAAAGGGTGGTCTCACATGAGAAAATAGGCCTACTGGATTGGGGCTGCCAAACTCCAAATGACCACTAGCTGGTGGCAAAGAGTTTTTTGTAGCTTTTGCTGTGTTCTAGTCATGATCTGAGATGTTGGAGTCCAGAGGTGGTAGTGCTACCTGAAAGTATCTTTTGTAATTAGTGTTGGATCATCACATTCATGTGAAACCAAGGGTCTTGTTCGCTTGTGTGACAGGCTCTTCTCCAAAACGGACCAGGCCACTTTGCAAGTGTTGTAAATCAATGCACAGTGGGGCAGCTACATAAATATTCAGAGGATGAGACGCTTTGACAGGGAGCAGCTCTTGAGATATAATTATGTCAAAAGAGTTTTAAGAAATCGTAGACTGAAATTTAAAAAACTGTACTTTCCACCTCATAAATGATAAAGCCCGTTTTACATCTCTCCACACACACACGTAGATCCTTGTTGACAGGTACACATGACCTGTGATCCAGGCTTATGAACCCTTGTTAGGTATTTTGTGTATTTCCACTGGCCCTGGCATATCACAGATATATGAATCTCCAACTACTTCTAAATATATCACAAACACAGGGAGAACTGGACACTCCACCTGTGCCTGCCAGGTCAGGAATCGGCTTAGGAGGCGATGGGGAAGCAAGACAGACACCTTCTACACGACACACCACGGATCAACTCTTAGGTGGTCTTCTTCTCAAAATGGGCGTAGCACTCTCCTGAAAGAATTCCAGGGTGCAATGGGAGTTTCCTCTTCCTCCAGTGATCCGTCAGCAGTTCAGAGTAAAAGATGTTCAGCTCACAAGCACGCAGGGAGGTATGCAGTGTGGTGGGATGGAGACTTGTCCTACACTGTGCAACAGGGAAGGCAATCTGTGGTGCAATGAGAATCTCCCTCCCACTGCAAAATACCACCTCCTTTTGGGCAAGTGTCAGCTGCTGAGCCCAGATATGAGATGTCGCAACCCAGAGCCCAAGCAGAATGGGATCAAAGCGATCGAGATTGCAGTGCTGGTGGCAGGGAACCAAATAAAATAGTGGAATGTCATTGCTGTTGCTTATTTTGAAAACATTTCTCTTTCCGAAGATCAGTTGACACTATCCCTAATGGAAACTCCTTGCAGCAACTCCCAAAACTGAAGACAAAAGAAACCACTATTCACCACTCCTTTTGACAAATCATTTTTAAAAATAAAGGGGAGAGAAGTGACCTTCTGACTCCACCTCTATCCTAATGCCCATGTAAGACAGTAGTTCGAAGGATGTAGATTTTGGTACTTAAAGTTAACTCTCCTAACACTCCTATATAATCTTCACTACCAACAAAGAAACATCATGCAGGAATATATAAACAAGTTGCCCTAAGAAATCCTTTGCTCGTTTTAATAGCTCAGAACAGAGTAAGTCACCAGCAAACTTCCAACCCAGTCAATTCTCTTTATAAGCTGGAGAAAAAAATTATGCAAGATGTAACTCAGAGCCCAAACTAAGAGGATCAAACCTCCCTCTATCTTCACAACTACTTGCTCTGCCAGGAAAATTAAAATCTCATACACACATACATATCTTACACACACCCATCTACATGCGTGAGAGGTATACCTTCCAATTTCCTTTGCAAAGCAATTTATTAAAATATTCATGAAATTGCTCAAACACCCCACCCCACAATACACTTTCTTGTAGCATTTCAATGGGACTGACCAGGTTCAAGCTCTGTGATGACTATCTTCCTCTGCTTTGATTCATTAAAATGCCTGTTCACTCATTGCACTAAGCCAATAGCTAATTTTACTCATCTGGTTTACATCTTGTGTTAACCCGCAGGAAGACACATGATCCCAAGTCGTAAACTATGGTTTACAAACCACAGTGCATGGGTTCATGCAACTGGCCAAGCCAAAACTGAATAAACACACGACTGCAATGAGGTCCCCAGCCAAACAGTGGTGGACGACCTGGCGTCCACCCGATTTTAACCACCGCTCCAATCAATTGAACCATCATGATGAATGGCAAGAGTTTGAGAGAGTCACAGTTCAAAATATTTCCAGGACACCAAGTTGTTAGTCCTTTGCTCTTACCTCCAGGAAATGAAATTCAGAAATCCTCAGAGCAACACAAAGTCTTGGGAAAAGCCCATGGCAGGCAGCAAACAAAAAACATGCTCGGCAAAATGACGGTGAATCTCTCAATTACACAAAATGAGCTTGTAGAAAGGATTATTTTACTAGCAGAGAAAAGAATAGCAGGCAGGAATGGGATGTTGAACTGATGTGCTTTTTGTTTATTATCTGCCCTAAATACAACTACAACATTGTCCATTTCAGGAAAGCAGGCAGGCATTCTTCAGGCCCAGTCTCTACCTGCAGACCATATAATCCACGCCCAGCTCATGGAAGAAAGCCACGGGTACAAAATCAAATCTAAAATCAGTCCCAGGTCTCCCCAGGCTGAGGGAGACAGAGAAATCGAAGCTCTTCAGAGCAAATTCCTTTGTGGGTTGACCCTTCAGAGTTCCGAAAACAGCGGCTGCTCCCGGGTGTGGCTCCAGCTGCCCACGGGCACGAGAGGACTCTGCCCAGGACTCAACGAGGGAAACTGCGCAGTCACAAAGAAGAAAGGAATGTGGCTGATCCTTCCGGTTGACCAGCACTGCAAGAGAGAGAGACAAGCATCAAAGCAGATGGCAGCAGAAGCAAAGCATGCCTGTCTGCTCAAGATGGCCTGGGCAATTGCAGGCTGTTTTTTTCACTCGCTGGGAGAGATCCTAGGTCACAGAGCACCCGTCCTTGTCTAAAGCAAAAGCGCATTCAGCAAGTCAACGCTGGGAAGAAGATGAGCGAGCAGGTGTGCTGTGTGTGATGTCGGGCTCTCCTATGAAGCTCAACTGGCTTTTGGTTATTAATTTTATTGTTTTGGGTTTTATTATGTATATGTTGTTTTATTGTTGGTTGTAAGCTGCCCAGAGTTTGGTTTAAGATGGGCAACTATACAAATGTTTTAAATCAATCAATAAACCTGCTTGTGGAATGTGGCTAAAGAACCTGGAAGCTGATTCTCTGGCTCCTTTGTGTGTTCCCTTTTTTTCTATTGGTTTTGTAGCCATTATGAAGCCTTTTCCTTTCCTGACTTCTGTTTTCTCATATATATCTGAGGGAACAGGATCAGGTGGAATGTGGAGAAGACACAAAAGAACACAATCACCTAACTTAAAATGGATTGGAAACAGGTTCTCTTAAAATTACAACGTGTCTATAGCCTGTCAATCCTTGTCCTCTCCAGCGCTAAATGTCTATTCATACACCTGTGACTGTGACAGGTAAAGGTTTTCCCAAAGCTAGGACTTGAGCTTCCTTCCTCTGACCCTGTCCAAAACCCTTTCCCCTCAATTCCCCTCTCTCTCCAGAATATAAACTGGGAGGAAGTGCCCGGTGCCGTCATGCTTTGATTGACAGGTCTAATAATGATTGTACGTGTTAACTGGGAAACCTGGCTTGCTTACTTCCTAATAGGCTTGGCTCAGAAGCCACAGTTTATCCCTGGGTTTAGAATCCTAAATTGTTAGAGGGAAACAAACCAGGGATCTCCATTTACACATTACAGAAAGGTAAGCATGGAGTGGATATCTGTGGAGAGCCCAGCAAAAACGAGGGAGCAACAATTCCAGAGTCAGATCATTCCAGCACGGGTCATTTTGCATGTCTGCATTAGTTGTTACAATTTTCCCTTCCTCCTCTTTAAAATTTTCAATTTTGTAATAATGTTTGAAAGTTTTGGGGGGCTACAGCCAGGGTTTGTGTGATCCTATAGTTTCAGGCCATGCACTAGAGAACTGAGTTTAAAAGTACAATAAATAGATAAATAAATAACTCCTTCCCGAGATGGGAATATGTCTAAATCAAGGATTTATGTTGAAACAGGGACTGATCTCCTTTTAGTCAAGAGTAATATACTTCCTTACAAAAGATAAAGATAAAATTCTGTGCAGAGTCAAATATGCCTCATATTTCAACTCAACTATCAGAAGTCTGGAAACAGTATCTTAAGGGCTTCAAAGCTTGATTTTAAAAATTAATAATCTTGGGACTCTTAAGTATCTAATCCTATACGTAGCCCAGGATGGAACTGTGAAATGTGCTTAAAATCCCAACCAATCCCTAAGCATGCATTCCAAACAGATCATCTATGCAATTGAGAAAAAACAAAACAGCACCTTCCAAGCCAAATTACTTGAGGCCACAAAGCAACCCACCCCACTTGGATCTGGAGAAGCTTTTACATTAATTGTTAATAGGGTGACTGGGAAGATCCCAGCTGTGAGGAAAATGTACCCCTTTACATTTTCACCTAGGATTTTCTAGAACAGACCACAGGAACCTTGCAATGGAGCCCATGCTGGTATAACAGCCATCCGCAGAGACTTTTGTCAATGCTACCACCCGTGTGAAGTGTGGACAAGCCAGCAAATCAAATAAGTTAACTTTATGATTCATATTTCAGATGCCTGGTGATGCCAAAACCTTCCCTCTCCTTGGTCTGCTTAGCCCTCTTACCGCACTTGGAAAAGATAGATCCAAGTAACGCCAGCAGTTGCAAAGCAAGCTGGAATTCTTGCAAGCTGGATCAGGCACTTGGAGGTTGAACTTACCACTGTCAGAAGGGCCCCCTTCTTAAAGCAAGGATGAAAAGTGACCAGCTGTGGCTGAGCACCATCTTCACCCTGTAGGAAACCACTGGACGTGGTAGAAGAAAGAGATTGTGCATTATAGCAGGAATGCCTAAGGGCTGTTGTGATGGTGCAGTCCTTGTTGTTCTCTGAGCTTGGTTGTTTTCTTGCAAACGTTTCATCACCTGGCTAGGTAACATCTTCAGTGCTAGAGTGGACTGGGGTTTGCTCTCTGTGTATATACAGTGGCATGCCCTGCCAGTGTTAGTGGGGGTGTGAGTTTTGTTTTGTGTGGCTTCAGCTGTTTGTCAGCTCCAGGAAGAACACTGTCCACAGCCTGTTTGTAAGTATGAGTTGTCTGAGACTTGGACATTCTTAACCCAGGGACTGCCTGTACCTTAAAATATTTATGCCCTGGCATGCTGATGCCTGCTACTCCCTCTGTAATATCCCAAGAGTGCCACCTCTCCTGCTTCTCTGGCTAAACAGAGTGGGCACTTTGTGGCCTAGTGAATCTTGGTGAACATCTCCCAGCAATCTTTCCCAGTGTTCAGGCTGCCTGGAGTTACTGGGAGTTGCAGTTCAGCAACATCCAGAGGGCCAAAGAGTCCTCGGCTCTTAGTCGAAACTCTTGTGCTCCTCAATCCAAACCTAATCTACCATATTTACTAAAAGAAACATGACCTGGAATTTAAGCCAAACCCTCTAAAGAAAGACAGGAAAACAAAAGCAAACCCCCTCATTTGCCTCTATTACCATAATGTCAATGATTTGAAGAAGACCCTCCCATTTTAAACTATTTAAAGAAAAATACAACGTAGATTTTCTTATAGATAAGAAATGGCTTGTGGACTCCATTTCCAGGTAAAGAGGGACATGACAATACAAACCAGGGCAGGAGTTCAAACACAGGGTTATTGCGGGTCCGAAACACTGCAATGGTAGTCTTGAAGTTGGAGGCATCCGAATTTCCTGCCAAAGGAAAAACTTAAACGTAAGGAACTTGAAGCACTTAATATGTGAACTGTGCAGAGAATGTGATGGCCTAAAAATGTGTTTTCAAGACTGATGGCATCTCTAAAAACAGCTGACGGTGGGATGGACCTTGTGCCTTACATCCTAGCAGATCTTCCCTGCCAGCTTCCCATAACCAAAGCCAATGGGGAAGGTGGCAGGAAGTTGCAAGTGCAAGGCCCGCAGGAAAGCAAGTGGCTGCTGCCAGGTGAGGGAGGGAGCGAGGGGGCAGGGCTGTGGGGGAGGGACTGGGAGGGTGTGTGGGAGGCGCAGTGCAGCATTGTGAGGATGTGAGGGTGTGCACTAGAGGCACCACGTGGGTTGAGGAGGGTGTGAGGTGGTGCACAAGAGGCACTGTACAGGCCAGTGAAGGTGTGCAAGGGTGCATGAGAGGCTCGCGCAGGGGTGTGTGAGTAGCCAGCACGGCATAAGCACAGAGGAGCTCGGGGATGGTGCGTGGGTGGGGGAGACCTACCCCAGCAACCTGTGACCTTCCCTGCCAGCTTCCCCACTGACTTTCTGGGAAACCAGCAGGGAAGGTTGCAAATGGCAATCGTGCAATCATGAGGTGCTTGGCAACCGGTTCTAAGTGCCAACAGCTTGCCAAGCACCCAGATCGCAATCATGTGACTGCAGGGGTGCTAGGACAGCTGGAACTCTGAGGACTGGTCATAACCACCATTCATTCAGCACAGTTGTAACTTGGAATGGTTGTATGTAGAGAACTACCTATATTGACACTTTTGACATTTGGTGTCGGAAAAAGCTCCTGAGAATACCATGAACAGCCAGGAAAGCAAAGCAATGGATCATCAAACAAATCAATCCAGAGTTCCTACTCAAAGCCCAAATGACCAGGCTTAAATTATCCTATTTTGGACACATTATCAGAAGACCTAGCTCTCTGGAGAAGATTCTGGTGCTGGGAAAGGTGAAAGGAAAGAGACAAGAAAGACTAGCAGCAAAATGGATGGACTCAATTATAGTGGAGCATCTGAAAGACCTGGTTAGGGACAGATCATCATGGAGAAAATCTACGTGGTTGCTATGGGTTGACACTGAGTTGATGGCAATCAATCAATCAATCAATCAACGAACATGTTTTAATATTACTCCTCTCAACTTATGGAAATATATTTGGGGGAGAATTCGGTTTTATAGTGCAGTTTACCCCAAGCTTTTAGAACAGGACAAGCTAGTATACAAAAGCCTTTGCTCTTGGTTATAGCATGATGGGGCCTGAGCTGGGAGGAATGATCTTAACTGGTTGACAGCAATATGCGATCAATGTGGTTGGTGGCCTTTGGCAGCACAATCCTATGCACACCAGCATGGGAACAAATCTCAATAATCCGAATGGGACTCCTTCCAATAAACATCCTTGCGTTGCCAAATCTTTCCATATCTGAACAAACAGAAAGCAGCTTCAACGTGCATGTGAGAAAGTGGAACGTGTAGGAGTTTACTCAGATGCAGAAGCAGCTCTTCCTAGTTCTTTCTCAGCTAAGACCTTTTTCCTTTAACACCATCATTTTCCAACGATGTATTTATTTATTAGATTTATAGGACTGCCCAACTCCAACAGTGTGACTCTGGGCAGTGTCCAACAGAAAAACAAACAATAAACTAAAGGAACCACATCACATTAAAACATACTCAACATATAAAATATAAAATGATGACTGTTCCTGTTCTCATGCTCCCGAGTTCTTCAGAATTCAGAGAAGGGTTGTCTTATTTAGCATATAGTGTTTAAGAAATTATGAACGAAGAGGCAGGAAGGGGGTGAAATAAAGGGCTGAGGGTCATTTCAGTTTTCAAGCAGGATGTGCATACCCAAATACAACAGATAAACATACGCATGTACTTTCATAAAGCAGGAAGTGGGTATTCTTTCATCCCTGTCCTTTTCCCCCAAATATATAATTTTGAAACGGACGGGGTCAGTTTGGGGCAAATGTCTCAGCCTTTATAGATTTGTGGGATAAACTGTGGGAAGGGGAAAGAATCACACATTCCATTTGGAGCTCTCCGGAGGAAAGGCAGAATATAAAATGCAGAAGGAATCAAGGAGCAAAGCCACACAATGTACTCAAAGTGTCATAATATCCTAAACTATCCACACGGTAACATATCTAACATTTGAGGATTTTATCTGAGGAGCACAAGAACACAGCCGTTCTAAGAAGGCCACTAAGTTCATCCTTGTTCCAAATAATTTTGAGGCATTTTCCCCTTCCTTTTTGGGTTTGGTGACATCCTTCTTTTCTTCTTGAGATGAAACATATAAATGTCCTTTAAAATGCACACAGAGCACATCCTTATGCTGTTGCTCACGGGCATCTGAAGCAATGCGCTCTCTGCTTGATTGTATCGGGGGGCGGGGACTGTTATGCCTATAAGCACACGTCACCTGCACTCACATTCAAAGGCAAAAGACAAACCTTTCTGGGAAAACCAAACAAAAGCCCACTGGTTTTCAAAATGCTGCATTAGGAGCTGGTCTCAAAATTTGGCATGGGCACGGTCCCTCCGTTTCCCCCAGCCTCCCCGAAGTTTCAGAGAAGCAGACTTCACCTTGAAGGACCACCGCAAGCCTCTCCCCGCTCGGATCCCAAACCATGGACTGCACTTCCCCTCCAATCCTGGAACACAGGGAGAGAGGACTTGAAGCGGGGCAAAATGTTTAAACATTCACGGTCAGCTACGCACATTCAGACTCCAGCTGCAACAGGAAGAAAAGGGTGGGAATCTGGAATACGAAAGGGAGGACAATTTTCTTGAGAGTTAAAACGTCACAGCAGGAAGATCATTACTTTAAAACCCTGCTTATTAAGACGGTACTTTAAAAAAAGTGTTACTAGGGGGGGAAAAACCTCTCTTCAAAAAGGAACTTGCTTCATTCCAGGAACATATGAATTCTGGTTCAAGGCTTTGGGATTGTTGGGAAACCCTATTCAGAAAGATTTTTGACTCCCACCCTTGTGCCCAGTTCTCAAACCTTCCACCAATCAACCTATCTATGCTCCAGAGCAACCACAGTAGTGTTGAAGGCCAGAAACCTTCTACCACATTCTATGTACATTCCCTTTCTTTTACCTCTCTTCCCCGTAGAGAGTCTCGAAGGTGGTCTCTGACAGATCCGCCACAATGGAAGCTGTTTTAGACCCACCGACCTGCCTTTGCTGCTCTCCTGAAATATCGGAAGTTATGAGAGAAACCAAACAATAGGAGGATGTAGGTAGAAAGTAGCTTTACACCCAAATCAGATTCCCTGTTTGTCTCTCCCATCATTGCTTACTTTGATAGGCAGTTCTCCAAGGTTTCACTTTACTTATTATCTGAACTGATTTTCCTAGCATAGTATCATGCACCATAATCAAATCTGTACAAATAACAAGTATGAAGGAGGATCATGCAAGACATTGAAGCCAGTCCGTAGACCAGCCAAAAACTTATTCAACAGACATATCTGCTCTCCTCCAATGCACAGCATATACAACAGGTTTCTAAGATGGCTAAATGCTCCATAATACCACCAAGTAAATAGTAGCACATAAGAATCTCTGAAGAACACCACCCAACAACCACAACCTTCACTTCATTAAAGAGACAAAGATTCCAAGTACGGTGCCCGAAACTATTTTTCATATTGCAAAAATCCAGAAGTTGTATTAGTGTCAGAGCTGCATACTCACCACTATATTCCAAGAAAGATAAGGAATAGATCACAGATTCCCCCTGGACAGTGAACAGCAAACGACTGCCATCTGGGCTCCAGCAACCAGTCTGGGATCAGGCAGAGGGTATGGAGAACAAATGCAGTTTTAATGCAGGCAAAACAAAGGATCTATCATTCTCTGCTAAACAGAGATTAGATTGGTGAATTCTTGATGTTTGTTGTGTTTGATTATATTCTTGCAGATTACATTACCAGGCTGAGTAACATCATCAGTTCATGGGGGAATGGAGTTTGCTGGCTGTTTATATATAGCTTGCCCTGCTGGCAGTCAACCCCCAGATAAACAGAAAATCCCCACTCAAGGGGAAAATCCCCAATCAAGGAAGAAACAATACCCTAATCAAGGAACCATCAAGGAAAAGAAACCACATCCCAACCAAGACTGGCAGGCCAAGCCAGCAAACCCCTCTCTCCTCATGCTGATGATGTCACTTAGCCTGGTAATGAAACATCTGCAAGAAAACAACCAAGTTCAGCAACACCAAGAACCCAACAGTTCAACCTTAAGCTATGTATATTCTTTAGTGCTGGAGAGGTTAGATTAACTCATCCTACGTGAGGATGCCTTTGAAAACTACCCAGAAACCACAGTTGGTACAAACTGTGGTGGCTAGGAGGCAAAAATTGCCCCTATCACACAACACCCATCCTCTGATTGCTCTGCTGGCTTGGTTAGGTTTCTGTATCCAATCCAAAGTTGACCGATAAAGTCCTCTAGGGCTTGGCTCCAGGACACCCCAGGGGTCATCTCCTCCAAGTGGAATCTGCCTGACCTATGGAAGGGGATGCTAAGAGGCCCATCTCTGGAGATCCATCTAGCAACGTATTTATTGGTGTTTTGCAAGGCAGGAAGGAGTGTGAATAAATGAATGAATAAATGATTGGTTTATTTCAGTCATAAGCAAATTCCAAATAGAAATTCAATTCCTGAATGGAAAGACTATACTATTAAATTGGGTTTTGATAACTGATTTTGGTGGGTTTTCTAGAGGTTTTACAGTGACCAGGCAGCTATCTCTTTGGCAGCGTATTATTATTGTGCTGTATTCCATTATTTCTGAGTGACTATTTTTGTTTTTCTATTTGTAAACCACCCTGGGTTGTATGAGCTGGGCAGTACTGCATTTCTGTAAATAAATAAGAACTCTTTGCCACCCTGTTTTCCCAACATACCCGACAAGGACCTTTGATAGTTGGCCATTTCTCGTAAGTCCACATTTGAACCTCCCACACTCTGCAACAAGATGCACAAGTTGGTAAAAAGAAATGAAACTGCTTTGGGAGCACCATTTAATGTAAGGGTCAGCTAGGAGAGGAGCAATGCCATTCACCGTTCTACCCGCAGTCCACTACTCCAGAAAAGAAAAAGGATTGATCTTGGATGGCTGCTTCCAAGGCACACTCTGCTCACCTGAAGACTGCCGAAGGTGTCGCAGCCAGCACTTTGCTGCCATCAGGTGACCAAGCCAGGTACGTGACCCCACCTCCTCCAAACCACTGCAACTGGATACAGTTTTCTGTGGAAACATCCCATACCTAGCGGAACAAGGTCAAAAGAAGGGAATCCACTGTGGAAGGAAAGCACTGGGTTTTACAGCGTCTTCTCCAACAAGCATCTTCCGGTAGCCCTCACTTCAAATTAAACTGACACTGTTAAGAGTCTGATAGGAAAAAAAACTTAACATCGTGCATCCTGAAGGCCTTGTGAGAAGACTGCCCCAAACATCTGCCCCCAAACTCTGCCCATTTCACGGCTTCCATAGCTCATGTGAACCGTTTCTGCAAGAGGACACTCACTACGGAGCAATGTCTGTGGCTCCCCTCGCCACAGCTTTTATGCTAGCTCTTCTTGTTCTAGACTGTAATAGCAGTAACAGCACAACGCACTTACAAGCATGGCTGTATCAACAGGTGAGGCTGACAGGAGCAATCCTCCACTGGGAGCCCAGGCCAGGCTGGTGATGGGACTGTGGCCAGGATGGCTGAGCACCTGAGCACAGCCAGATGAAGGCCTACAGGGACCAGAGATACACATCACAAGGAAGCCCATAATGTGGTTTCTTTTGATTTTGCTTGGCATCTTACGAAAACCCACTCAGCAAACCATAATTAAGCCAGTCGTCAGTGTTGTGTGAGCCCATCCAGTTGTTTCTCCAGATATGAGCACATAAGCTGGCAAAAGAAGACTGGGCACTAAGGCTGTGCAGCATTTGGGATCTGAAGGCCAGAAGGGGCTTAAGGGCTACATAGCACCAGTCAGCCCTCTTTAACCCAAACGTGTCTTTTTCCAAGGTTGCACTGCAGCTATGGATGGCAGGTGTGCAATTCTGGGAGAAGGCGTAGCTGCTTTAAGGAACTGCAGAGAGGTGTTACGACTGCAACCTCGCAGGCTCCAAAGCACCTTTTCCCTTTGAGTCCGAAACACTGCACAGCCTGACTGCAATTATTTCCTGCACCACTCAGGGTGCATCTGTACATCATCCAGTGCTCCAGAATTCACCACATCCCCATTACCAGAAATCAGCAATATGCACAGCAAGTAGTCACATGACCAAGCGCTAGAGAGGCTGAGCAACCCTGCTAATGCTTGGGATGGAGGTGGGCACTTAGTGCCCTGAAATATTTGGATCCCAGCCTTCAGCAAAAATAACTCCCCGATCAATAAAAAGAGATGGTCTCTGTTCAGAAGCTCGCAACACAAAGAGACAAAAGAAAATGGATGAGAAACAAAAGAAATCAAGAACGTTATAATAAGGCATCTGAAAGCCACAAAGATCTTCATACACTGCCACTGACTGTTGGAAGGCTGCCTCATGTCCTTGAGAGGGGACCCAGAATCTGATAAAGCTTCTTAGCGGGCTGATGGTGGCCTTCCTTTGCCTCCCTTCAGTTAGCAGAAGTTGATTGAGCACAGGAACCTTCATTTTCTCGCACTCCTTATTTAGATCGTAGACTTGGGGGAAAGGAGACATGATACAGAGCACGCATAGCATGGAAATAGGAAAAGGTTGATGGAGGAAGGGAAAAAAGGCTGTAACAGAGAAGAGACTAAGGATACCCTAAAAGAAAAAGAACTGAGCAGCATGAAGATCTTCTCAATCTCAAGCATCTGAAATCTGACAAGCATTTCCTTCAAATAGCAGCAACAAACAGCAACTGCAGTTTGCTGGCTAACGTGGGCCACCATCACTGATCACACCACGAGACCTGACTGGTTACCTGGTAGAAAGCGAAGTGGGATCCAGATGCCAAACCAGCACACAGCTATGGCATGCCACAGCAAGGATAGATGCACACAGTGGCTTCCAGGCCATCAAAGCCACGTTCCTTTGCAAGCGATGCTTCAGGATTGGGATTGTAGTACTGGAGAAGAGAACCCAAACAGAGATACAAATTATCCCGAAGGACCAGTGATACCAAGTAAGTATCAACAAAATGAGCATAAGGAATTGCTCAAGGCTACCCGGTGTCCTTAAATACCCTTCAAATAGCATGACACAGAAAAAAGGTCAGGATCTGTCCTTTGCTGTTCCAGAGTGGAGGACAGAGAAGTCTTCAATTACAGAAAGGCAAATTTCAATTATACGTTAGAAGAAACTTCCTAGCAGAACGGAAGGAAGGTTCCCCTTCCTGAATGTGTTCAAGTAGACGCTACAGGTGGACTCTTGCAATGAGCAGGGGGCTGAATTCATAGCCCTTTCAGCTTCTAGGATTCTAATCAGTGGGTCAGAAGCTATATTTCTACATGGAAGCCCAAGAATAAAGCAATTCCTTTTATTTGTGTAGATTTCCATACAGAGCAACTGGGCAGGTGGTTGACAGTGGGTTTTCTGAAGATTGTGAGCTATTTCTGTTGGATGATTCATCACTCATAGATTGTTGAGATCCCCGACAAGCTAGATCTTGGTTTGGCCTTATTTATTACAGAACATTAATATTTTAATACTGGCTATTTGCTGGTTGGGCATAAAGCCAACAGCATTCCTAAAGAAAAACATTACAGTGAGAGTATAAAATATGATCAAGTACTAAAAATATCTTTAAAAGCCAAGTAAGAGAGAAGTGCCTCAATAACTTCAAAAATTAATGAGCAGCTTGGAAGAGCAGAGGACTAGTTATACCCTTGGAAGGAAGGAGTGCATGCTACAGTTTGAGAGCCCCAGGGAAAAATCTTCTTCTGCAAACCTCCACAGGGAGGAATATTTTCAAGCAGATTCTCCCTGTATATCATATTAAGCAGGTAGGTCCATAGTGAGAATGTCTTCAGTTCTTGGCATGAATACTCAAAACTATTTGACACAGGCCACAAAGTTGGGCAAAGAATAGCTGCACAGGATCACCAACTTTTAGTCCAAATGGGGGGGAAGAACTTGCTTTCAAGTATACCTGGTTTGTTCTTATACACAGCTCCCATTACTAGTCCCATCTCAGGGCCCAAAAATCCAATTATTTATTTTTCTTGGCCTGTGCTAATCAACACTTGTAAACTCTTGAGTAGGGCTTTCAATACAATCCTGGAGAGTTCAGGTTTTCTAAATGTCAGTCATATGCCTTGTTAATCGCCACTGGCTTCAGTCTGTTCAGAGTAATGCTCTGCCTGAAGCCTGGGCAGGAAGCCCCTTACCTGTTTGTATTGTAAACACGGATGGAGTCATCCAGAAGGGCCACTGCAAATTTGTTGGTGTGAGGATGCCAGGCAAAAGCTCGGATTGAGCAGCCTGCCCTGTGTAGGCAAGACAAGGGGCGTTAAAAAAATCACTGGGCTTGCTTCAGTCCAAAAGCCAAACGGGTGCTAAAACATAGGAGCTTGGGGCAGGTTGGGCCAAGGCTACATACCAGAGAAAATCTCAATCTAAATGAAAACTGGGTGCTTCTGAAGAGCTGTGTTAGAATGGCTAAACAGCAAGGCAATTATTTCAGAGAATGCTTGTGTATTAAAAAAAAAAAAAGTGTGTATTTGGGACTAGCACAGAACCAAAGGTTGATAGTTATTCTAGGGTTAACTGATACCGAATACATATGAGATTTACCCAAACTAATATGCATTCAGAAACAGAATTAAGGACTCTGCAGATTAGCTAGTAAGTAAGAGCCTCTATACATGGCACAGGAGAATATGTCAATTTCAGGTTTACAGCAGATCAACTTGGGTCCCTTTCCAACAGGGAAAGGGGTTCAGGCAACAACTAATACAGTGGTACCTCTACTTACAAACTTAATCCATTCCGTGACTCTGATCGCAAGTCGAC